TGAGTGTATCGTATGTACTTTTTACAAATCGTAAAAAAAACAAAATCTATCGAATGATTGTTAAAAAAACAGAAGCACAACGTACATTTCTTTCTCTTACGATAGGTTACCATGACATAATATTTTCTCTTTAACGATATGTGGTTGAACTTTCAATTTTTGAAGACACTTTATGTTTTAAATTCACATGACGAAGGCAAGCGTCCTATTCAAATGCTACACGGTGACCCTTAACTAGCAAGATAATTATTGAACATTATGACATATATTGAAAGTTCTGTAATAAGAAAATAATGAGTAAAAAATCGCTTTTTTTGTACCAAAAAGGTATTTGTGTGTTTCTTATGATTCATACGGTTATTGTTAGCAAACTTCCACGTAGTCAATCTCTGGCTCATTATTTGTTCTAGAACCAACCGCATTTCAACAGTTATCATTACCTTCTTGTGTTGACAGAGAGATAGCTGACGATTTGGGTAGTTTAAATCATAAAGCATTAATCGTCGCAATAACGGACAAAGATCGAACTCAGAAGATCTTACCATCATCGCCACTACAGACATCATTGATTCATGATAAAAAGGTTTCCCAACCCCTAATTATTGTACTTGATGAAAGTGACGATGATGATTGGGTTGTTACTCAAAAAGTTGTAAAGCCGAATAACACAGAAACGCCTGAGAATAAAAATGAGAAAACGATAGAAATTGATGATACGATTAGAACTACATCTACTGAACAGTTAAATAATGAATCTCAAGGAATTATCGATACACATGTTTCTACCACTAATTGTTTAATGTTAGCAATGACGGATACAGTAATGAAGGAAAATTTGAGAATCAAATCGGCAGCTACTTCGACAAATTCTTTCGAATTCGAAGAGGATGTAAATGAATTATCGTCTGCGATAGAGAGTAATACTCAATTAAATAATATGTGCTTTGACGTAAGCGATACACCTGGTCCTGAAACGAATAAACGAAAACAAATGATACCAGTCCAAAATCAACGCAGAAAAAAAGGTAAATGCTTCATGTTTCAGACTGAATTCACCGGTTTTCAAAAATTTTCAATGTCTTGTGATCTGTAATCAATGGACCGATAAAATATTTCATCATTTAATGTCAGTAAAAAGATGACTAATTTGTGAATTAACAGAAAAGTTGTCGGAGAAAGATGACGTGAGGACACAGAAACACATAGTGTAGATAATTTCAGTACACGGTTGGAAATAATATTTTTCCAGGGGGGTAGAGCTGAAACTACAGATGATATAAAAAACAGATGATTATATACCAAATTAATGCTCATCTAAAATGGAATTGATGTGTATGACTGAGATTCCGTATGACGATTATTGACTGTAGAACTATGGAAGTTTCTATCTAGTGCATCATAACGAATGAGCCTCTCAGTATTTTCTATTTTTCTCGTGTACGTTCAGGATCTCGCGGTTAGTGTTTTTTTGTAAAAGATGCGCCACGAAATATTCTACAAAACCATATCTAAACTTTAATTTTAGAACTTTAATCAAGGAAACTACGTAAATTATACGAAAGACGAAAAAAATGAAAACTTTGTATAGTTGGTATTTTTTCGACTTGACTTTTTTCTTCAGCACTTATTCACGCAAAAGAGTGTAGCAAAAGTGAGAACTCAATTCTTTTGGTATTTTTGAACATGCTGTTTCCTCTGGCCTGTGAAAAATATTTTTTAGAGCAGATGGTGGGCTGGAGAACTAAGTTTCAAAAATTTTTCCTCATTTTCAGCAATGTGCCGAAGTAAGAAATGGAAAACCTGATCGATGTTTTGATTTCAGAATTAGTAATAGAAAAG